AATTAGTGTTAAATTGGATAGATGAAACCATTCAAAATTCATTAATAGTTGTGCTAGCATGGTCACAAATTATCTTGACCAAGAGTTTGAGCATACTGGCCTTGTTCAGTGGTTGATCAGACCAGATTATGTGCTCTTTCCCAGAAATAGTAACTAAGGTCTGCTCAGCATAGTCGCAGTATATATTATAGAGTGGCCTTGTAGGTGTTTCTGAGCTGATGTCTCCAACAAGGGATTATCTAGTCACTTTAGTATAGTTAAAATGATAGGTTTTGCATTCACTTTCGCACATATAACATTGGGAAATGTTTGAATCTGTTTTTTCTTCCTCTAACTTGGGGTTAAATAGGAGGGTATATCAGGCTCTCTTGACTGGCAACTCGTCTAATAGAAAGAAAAACTGAATTTCAAATGATGGAGAAGGCAACAGGTAGCTTCTTTACTATCACTGTGTGTGATAATTCATAGAAAATAAAAGAAAAGAAATCTATGGTGAGTCATGGCTGCTTGTGTCCTGAAGGAATGAGGCATTCAACAATATCTTACAATATATATATATATAATTAATACAAGTAAAAGGTTTGATGTTACCTTCAACATTCCCACTTCAGAGTTTCATAGATAGACCCTCTGAGAATCACTCCATCCACTCATCAAGGGTTATCAGTAATTGACTGCTTATATTTCTCAATTTTTTATTTTTTATATTTATATATTTTTCTATACTTTTCATAGGTGCAAGTTTCTTTTTTATAGTGTGCGTTCATGGTCCCATCTGTGCATATGTGCATACATATAGAATTTTGTGGTTATTTGTCCTTTTTGTCATTTACAATCACTCCTTATTGTTTTTCAGCTTTTTCCTTTTTTTCCTTTCAATTGTAGCTATCTTGATTTCTAGTTTTCCAGACCTATACTGTTGTTAATTCTACAGAATTCTAGTGTTAAAATAATCCTTGATATATAATAAATAACATAAGAAAAGGACACAGTGACTGAAATGTTATGATAACAACAACAGAGATGAGGATAACAGTTCACATGTAGATAGTGTAAGTAAGCATAAGAACAATATTACAACAGATTAAAAGATTATAACCAAAGTTAATCCAACATACCTGTACTAGACAAGAATATATTACTATAAATGTTATTTTTAGTTGGTACACTTGTTTGAACTGAGATGCCGGTTATTTTTAATACAGTGAAACTAATGTCAACTGGTATGGAAATCAAGAAGTCTTTACTAAAGAAAAATATGTCTCCCAACAGGGAATAAACCTATCCATCAGGGAAACCACTCTTTTAGCTGAAATGTTCTGTTCAGGAGGCATATTTTCTGTTAGTAATGACTTCTCAATTCCTAGACAGGTTGAAATCAGTTTCAATGTTTAAAAAATAACAGGCATGTAAACAGACATATTTACATGTGTCCCCACTAAAAATAACATTAATAGTAATAAGGAATAATGTCAGATTAGAAAAAAAATCTATTTGGAAATGTTCTTTATTTAAATTTTGGGTATGAAAATAAAAGTAGCAGATATGAAATTTGAAAGATTTAAGTGAGAGAGGTGCATTCCTCAAGTAGGTAAATGAGCTTTACCTTATCATGACAGTTTTCTGTAGCCTAATTGGTAAGGCATGTAGTAAGTCCCAATAAAAATAAAATAGAATATAAAAAGAAAAAGAATTCAATTTAAAATAAGGCATTTGTGTTTTCCTTTAAAACCTTTATCTCTCTCTTTCTCTCTCTTTAAACTTCTTTTTCAACTAACAAGACAACCCTCAAATAAAAAAAGGAAGAAGAAGAAAAGACTGAACCCAGCCAAAAAACACTGGAATTTTGTAGGAATAGAATCTACCAATTTATGACTGAAAACTTACAAAAATCAAGGAGGCTCCATACATAATTTTCAAAAAAATGAAAAAGAAAGAAAAGCCAGAAAATAAAATAATTTTGGCCAGTCAAAAAATTGACACAAAGAGACTTTTGATGTTAACTGAAACCAATATTCATGCCAGAGTCTCAGAGCCTGGTCAAAAGGATATAAGCTGACTCCTTTGAGATAGAAGCAGGAGGGACGATGAGTGTGATGACAAAAGACACTACTGCAGAGAAACCAGCCATGCGGGACTTGTGAAGAAATAGTCAAGAGTTTATCTGCTAATGATATTTCTGTCCTGCTTAGTGTTGAGAAAAACACAGTAGATTGACAGTGACCTATTTCTAATATTACTACTACACCTAGCATGGTCTGACTTCAAAACTACACCTAACAGACTTTCTCTAAACTACTACCAATAAATAAATATTATTGTGGCACCAAATATCAAAGGACTCTCTCTTCACTCTAAAATAAAAATATATTATTTTATGATATCTTTCACTACAATTTGTTTTATTCCAAAGTTTCCCATAAAGAAAATCCTACCACTTTAACCACAGGCACATTCAGCTAAAGGAGTGATTTCACTGTCAGGAAAAGTCAATACAGTTTTGTTTCTTATCAGGAGGCATATTTTCTGTTAGTAAGGACTTCTTGATTTCTTAGCTGCTTGAAATTAATCTCAATGTTTAAAAAATGACAGGCATGTAAAGAGGCATATTTACACAATATAATGAAGATAAAGATAATGTTTATAGTAATAAGAAATAATGTTGGATAAAAAAAAATCCATTTGAAAAATAATGTATGCAAAGATATCTGAAATATTAAAAAATATAAATAAGCTAAAAGCAATAAAGATGACAATAAATCTTCACATGATTCAATTTAAATGATTTCTGTCTGAATTCTGGCTGAGGAGTTATTATTAATTACATGATTTCCATTTGGAATAATGTACTTGTCTTTGTTCTGCTGTCAACATCTAGGGATATGGCATCTTCTTTTTTTTTTCAATACTGCTCAGTTAATTTCTGGGATGAGGAATTATCATTATTTACACTATTTGCATTCAGACTAATGTCCTCATTTTTTTTTTTTTCAAACTTTTTGCTCTACAACCGTCTTCAGATATCTATGAATCTGAGTTTTTTTCTGGGAATTTTGAACTGAAACTTTTATTTAATCTTATTTAATGTACATTAATTTTATTTAATCTACATTAATAGATTATTCTTGTTCTGCTATTCATATCAAGGGATATCTTGTCTTTCCCCCCTTTTTTTTTAATTCTGTTCAGTTATTGCTCATCTCATTTCCACTAAATCTGAATCTGTACTTATTTTTCTATGTCCCTTGGATGATCATGGCTTTCCACAACATCTTATTTCTTGCAACTCTTAATAATATTTGTCTTTTTATTGTTCCTCCCACTTTTCATTCAGCTGTCCATTCACATAAGCACATCAGGTAGGTGATGCACTGTCCCTTTTGCTTTTAATATATTCTGTAAGTGTCAAATTTTCCAAACCCTTCTTCCTCATTGTTTGCCCCAGAAATTTCAGCTATGTCATTCTGATTCTAACTATAAGTGTCCTTTTTGTTTCCATTTTTCCCTTAAAACTACCCAGCTTAAATTGCATCCTAGGTAAGACGATAAACTACGTCCAGCAGCAAGGCCTCTGATCAGGAGGTTTTGAGGAGTGTGGAACAACCTCTTAATTGCTGGTGTTTCCAGGTTCACCCTGACCTGGGGTTGAGCACCTGTTAGGGTCCCAGCTATGGGCAAATAGTTAACTATTACCAGCAATACTTTTTTGAAAAAAATTATTACCAGCAATACAATTTTGAAGGAAAAATATTACCAGAAATAGATTTTTGACAAAACAAAATATTGCCAGCAATAAAAAACATTTTGTCAACATTAAATAACCCATTAAGGTTGATATGCCATAAAACAAAATAAACCAAACCAAACCAGCTTAAATTAAATGGTTGGTCAAACAGTTTCTGCTTGTATAAAAGACAAATAAGACTGAATACATATTTGATAAAGTTTATTCGCTTGACCTTTTCTTCATACAAAGTCTTTTACAGTCTCATGTTTTTTTTGTTTTGTATTTTTTTGTTCACAGGTTGAGCCGAGCTTTTGTATCATTGGTGCTGTATGTGTGTGTGATACTTTCTCTTCTTTTTGGCATCGAGAACATCTTCCGTCTTCCTGTTTTTATTATGTCCGCCCTCTCCTTCCTCGGATGTTTCAACTTCCTGAATTCTTTGCTGCGAATTGGGCAGCAGAAACCCAAGAGTCTGTGAGTTGTACATCTTCAAATACATTCCTGCAGCCAACAACCAAAATTTTCCTCAGATTTTTCCAACAAAGGATTGTTTTTTTTTTTAATCTGACAATAACCATGGACAAAAATTTGGTTGCACATATTTGTTTATTTTTAGTTTACTTTGAAGAAATGTTTCAATTGTTTTGAGCATTTACTAATGCATATTATGCACAAAGAAAAAAATGGTTTTTGTTACTAATTTTTGATGAAAAAACATTACTAAACACTGTATAATAATAATAATAAACTCTTTTTTCAGTTAATACTAAATTCTAAAAAGGCTTTCTTAGTACGTTCACAGCTAACTTGGATATTTGTACCTCTTATATAAGCCATCTAATTTTTTGTTAAAAATTGATCTATATGAAAATGTATGCTTTATTTTAATATGTTACCATTGATTTAGTGTATTTCTACTGTTACATACTTCTGGCTGTTGTTACTAGATTTATGATTAGAAATTACTATATAAGAAACCTTACGCATTATTTTAGTAGATAAAATTAAATTTAGTAATACATTCACTGCTACTACGGTTATGTGAAACCTAAGATAAAGCCATCTATGTTTTTGTTAGAAATTGCTATATTAGATTACTTATGCTTTATTTTGGTAAATAAAAGTAAATTTTACACACTCTTTCACTATACACCAGCAGCTTATGGCCATACCATGTTGAAACACCAGTTTCCATATGATCACCAGAGTTAAGCAACTTTGAGTCTGGTCAGTACCTAGATGGATGATCGCTTGTAAATACCAGGTGCTGTAATATTGATATGTGGGTGGTGTAATGTATAATGGCTCAGAATTGTAAATCAGAGAGCCAAGTTCCAGCTTCAGTTATGTTCACTATATTCATTTACATGAAAATTCCCTTGGGAAAGGTATGAATCTACCTCTTTCCCCCCCAGCTATAGATTAATTAGTAAAACTTATGTCACTAAACCATTATTTATCTAAAAAAAAAATAAATAAATTCTCACAATCTAAAAATATTTCCTGTCTTTAAATAACCTGCAAAGGTTAGATAAGCTGTATAAGAATGAATGAATCAATCAAAATTAAATTTTACACTATTTCACTATACACCAGTCCTAATTCACTTGTTCTTGCATATTGGATTATGACATGTGAATGTTTCCTAATTAGTGATTGGAGTTGTGACTTGAGTATCGACATCTTTCATTAATTCCTTTTGTTGCATATAATATTTTATTCTTAGGAAGAAAAGTCAAAGTTATGCTAGTTCGAGTATGCATAGGCCACACATACTTGCTGAAGACTGAAGATCAACCAACATGTACATCATGCCAAACTGCACTCATCATGAAAAACATTTTAACTGAATGTACTCACTTAACCTGTATAAGTCATAAATACTACAAGAAAACTATTTGAAAATACTGAAACTGTCAACATAATGTCCTATTTTAAAGAAATAGGTCTATACCAAAACAACACTTACAATAGATCATCTGTAAACTATGTATTTATAAAACATATGTTTACATTAAAAAGTGTAGAATTATGTAAAGAATATCTGTAGTTGAAGGCATAAAATTGCATTCAAAACATTTAGAGTTCAGCATTAATTAACCCAGTTGGTTGGTTGATTTTGTTTAGCAGTATATCAAACTCTAATGTCGACATCTAAATATTTTATACTTTCAGAGTAAAGGTATTTTTTTTTCAAGATGTCTTATTCAAAGCTGAAAGTAAAATAGACACTTTTATTCAACAGAAATGCCAGAAATGTTGGATCAATAACACAAATATTAAGCTTCTCACAATCAAACCAATTCTAGAAGAATGGAAACAAATGTCTAGAAAAGGAAGAAAAAAAACGAAGTAACGCTAACTCGGCTTCACATAGGCCACATATTCCTTAACCATTCATACTTGCTGAAGAATAAAGATCAACCGTGTACAACATGCCGAGCTGCATTCATAGTGAAAAACATTTGAACTGAATATACTCCCTTGCCCTTATAAGACATTAATACAATACAGAAACTAACATGAGAAAATTATTTGGAAATACTGAAACTGTGAACATAAATTCTTACATTGAAGAAATAGGTTTAAACCTATAATAGACCATCTACAAACTATATATCTCAAAACACACGTTTACCCTGAAAGTATAAAATTATGTACAAAATGTCTGTAGTTGAAGTCGTACAACTGTGTTTAAAATATTTAGATTTCATCATTAAACAACCTATAGGGGGTGGACAACTAACTATAATTATCTGTCTATATTTCTCAGATGAGGTATTGTAATCATTTACACTATTTACATTGTTTGGATTGTTGTCCTCATCTTTGTTGCCATATTCATAACGTTTTGACTGTTGTACACTCCGGCCTTCTTCAGGTGATTAGAATTTCAAACCAAACCCTTTATTTCATCCCCCAGCTTGACCCAAAGAGTTTTGAGTTCAGTACCTGGCTACAGCAGAGGTGAACAAAAACTTGGATAGTTAAAAGGGAGATAACTGATACTGAGATATCTGAAAGAGGCACTGCACATGGAACTAGAACAATCTACCCCAGTGGATGATATAAAGGGTTCAGTTTGAAATTCCAATTACCTGAAGAAGGTTGGAGCATACAATGTTCAAAACATTGTGAATATGGCAACAAAAATGAGGACAACAATCCGAACAATGTAAATAGTGTAAATAACTAAAATTATATTTTAACATATTCATAGCTACTTTGGATATGTGAATGCTTACATAATGCCAGATATGTTTTTGTTAGAGTTACTAAGTTCTAGAAATGGCTTTAAGGACTAGTTATGCTTTTTGATAAATATAATTAAATTTGTACATGCTCACTGCAACTGAAAATATTTGAACCCTTACATGATGTCAGCCATTTTTTTGTTATCATTAGAAATTGCTATATATTTTTGCTTTATTTTGTTAAATAAAATTAAATTATCTTCATTGTTATGCATTTGTGCATCATAGTCATTTCTTTTATCAAAATACAACGCAATTCAACGTAAAAGAAAAAAACAGTGCTGAGAATAACTACATTACTGTGCCTGTTCATATTGCCTTAAATAAATGATGGAGTTGATGCACATATGTGTCAGAAGCAACACACGTGTAGATCTAAATGCATTAAATATTAGGTGGAGCTTTTGAATTCTGATTAAGACTAATTCATCCATTGTTTTCATAGCTATTCAAAAAGACATAAAAATATTTTTTTCTGAAAGAAAAGGAGGTCAATTTTGATTTGCTCAGTAATTTATAACTAAAAAAAATAAAATTTCCTGATAAAAATATTGTAAATTAAATACTCCCAGTAAGTATAGAGTAGTAATTATTTCTACTTTGAAAAGCAGAATAATAATTTGAGGGTTCAAATCAACAACATATCTGCTTTAACTGTTTTAAAATAGTTTTTTTTTTTCATTTCGCCCCAAGCAAGGTGACAATGCCATGAGAATGTCCAGGATGATATGGAGTGAAAGAGAATGAGAAAACTGAGAATAGGGAGGATTGAGGGAAAGAAAAAATGAACAGGGATTTAAGAAGACAGAAGATGGCGATTGTTGTTGCATTTAAATTTTTGAAGATTGTAATTGTCAGGGAAGCAAAAATGATGTAAACATTCTAATTTTGCTGTGAATCTTTTCTTTTTGTTTAATTTTGTTTTTTAAAATCATCTACTCTTTTCATAAAATTATATCTTGTGAAATATCCCCCCACCTTTTTTTTTTTTCCTAAAATGGCCTTTTTGGAAGATGGTATCAACTGAAAAACGAATGTGATTATTTTTTACCAATCTGATTTTTCCTTTATTTTTGTATGTGATTCCATGTCAACTCTCTTTCACAAATGCAAGAGGAAAAGTGAAAAGAAGCAGATGGCCTCCAACCAGAACACTCTATCATAAGACAATTTGATTTCAAACATGGCCGAATGTGTTCGAGGTCACATAACTTAAACCTCTCCCAATTAATTCTTTTTGGCATTTGTTATGTAATGTACAAGTGTACATTAAACACCTTTAAAAGTTCTAGTTGTTGTCGATAAATGCTATATAAATAACTATACCTATATATTTACTAATAGATATTTTATTAACTGAGGCCAGAAAGCCAAGTTGATTAAATTGGAATGATTTGGATTTAAGTCTTTATAAAAAAATTAATAGATGCATAACTAGCCATTCCTTCCAAAAGCAAATTTATTTTTGCAGCAGCCATTTTAAAACTACAAGAGTGCATCAATAATTCCATAGCCCAACACTGTTATTAGCTGAATTTTTACTGTATGATCTTCAGTAATGGAGAAGCATTAAGTGCATTGACAAGAAAGGAGATAAGTATAAAAATAGAGATTTGTTGTGTAAAATGTCATGGTTGATGGCATAGAAGACCTGCTCCCCCACATCATATTAAAATTTAAAAAGTGTAAAAAGAAACTTATTTTTAACTGGGACAAATAAAGAGAATGTTGATGAAGTTTGAGAATTATGCAGTGATCAAACTAATTTCTGTCTGAATGTGATCCTTTATCTTATCATTATTTGCACTATTTACAAGTAGACTATTTGCCTTTGTTGTTGTTATCACAATGTTTCAGCTGTTGTGCCTTCCAGACTTCATCAGATGTATGTTGATCCAAGTAATTTGCAGGGAATTCTGAACACTTTATTTAATCGACAGGAGTAGACTGTTTTCATTCCACTGCTCATGTCTATGAATATCTAGTCTAGTTCTTATGTTTAGTACTGCTCAGTTATTGCTCATCCTGATTCCACTAAGTCAGAGTACACACTGCCTAAACCAGGGATTGAACTCATAATTACTGTCACAAAATTCACAAACCAATGCTTTACTCCACTAGGCTGTAATCCCATAATAGAAGCAGATGAGATATCCTTAAACAGTAGTAGTTTACTCCCATAGATTAAATAGCATTATAAAAAAAATAAAGTGCTCAGTTCAGAATACCTTGTAGGTTACCCAGAGAAACATACACTTAATGAAGGCTGCAGGGCACAATGGACGATACAAACATTGTGATAACAACAAAGATGAGGATAATAGTCTGCATATAAGTACTGACCAATTTAACAATTATTTTCAACATATTCTCTGCTGAAACAAGAATTGGGTTTTATATTTTATGAAATGCGTGTTTGTCGGTTTTATAATAGTATCCAAGACAAAGTCAGAGATGCTGAGACAAAATGGAAAAGATTTTAAGTGACTTGTTGCACCAACATGATGTGTGTTGGGTTTGACTTCTTCAGGTTGGAATATATATTGGATTAATAAAAGAAAAATCCATTCCTAAAATTATATATATATATATATATATTATTATTATTATTATTATTATTAATACAATAATATCAAAGTCTGCTATTCAGTTTCATGCAATAATTATCAGGTGGGTATATTTAGGCTCTGTCAACTTTGGCATTGAGTCCTTGGTTTCAGTCAAGAATCCACCAAAACTTTGCTAGTATTAATGTATGTCTTTTTAGCTGTTTACTCCTTCCTCTTTCATCTTACCATGTCTTTGAAAATAATCCTTATATTTTTTATTTGTTTTCCTTGTTTTTGCCTTTAAATTTCTGTCTTAAACTTTGCTTTGACACGTGTGTGTGTGCGTATATATATATATATACACACACACACACACACACACGTATGTGTGTGAGAGCTATTGGTGTATGTGGATATATATATATATATAAAGAAATATATTCTTAAGGTGTGCTATATTTATGGGATAA